CTAAGCGCTGTTGCAGCGTACAGCGGACAACACCCAATTTCCATCTGCTTTGAGTACGGTCCCAGTGATCGCAGAGACCAAGCTTCACTTTAATGTGAATCGCGGTCCACATTGAGATTGCGCGTCGCAATCCAATCACACAACGTGTAGTCCAAAATTGAATATCTAATTAGTCATTTACCGTTTTGCCAAGCGTTGCCCGCCTTGACCAGGTGGCCAAAGGGATAGAGGTTTCCACTACTATTCCATTGGTCGCGGGTTCGAGGCCTGCTATCTCCACCTGATGAGATAAGATGACATGGAAACGCGTCGTGGTTGTGCAGTGTTTCCTGGCGGGCAACACCCAATTTCCATCTGCTTTGACTACGGTCCCATTGACCGAGGTTCATTACAATGTGAATCACGGTCCACACTGCAATTGCACGTCGCAATCCAATGTCACTACGTGTAGTCCAAAATTGCCCCTGTACTTATTATTATTATTGTTATTAGTAGTTATCAGTTCAAATGGCTGATGATGCGGCACAATAGCTGAGGTGTTTTCCACCTCCAGCTAACGTGTAATGATGATGATAATGATGATGTACTTCTGTTGAAAAATAGTGACCCATATATCATGGAGGGGAGATTAACACCCTAGCAGCTGATGGGCCTCCATCTTTGGAAAGATCCGGAGTGAGTTCATCAGTTTCAGGGACTTTGTTGCACTTTAAGTGACGAAGCTCATGGGCAACCTCAGCTTCAGATATTGGCAAAGCGTTTATACACCCGGGAGCACTCTACATTCCAGAATATGAACTCATCGGTGCTGCTGGCCAATTAAACTGCTACTCAAAATGCTCGGACCAATACTCGTGTCAGCATTTTTGACAGTGGATTGGCTCGCCATTGGTTTCGCACAAAAATTCGCTTACAAGCGGCATTTTGCCGCCAGAAGGTCGGATCAGAAGGAAATCCTTACAGAAATTTCGCCAGGTGACCGTTTGCTCCATCTCAATGGTCTGCTGCGTTCACTAGGCCTCACCATCTTCCCGGAATTGTTTGAGCTCTACGTTAGTAGTCTTGTGTAGTGAATGGTGTTTAGCGGTAGCAGGAATTGCGCGACGGACTTCGAGAAGTTGTAGGGATCGTGCAGAGATGCAGTGGTTTCCAGGACCACCAGGGAAACGCAGACTAGGGTTGCTTAGTTGTACATGGCGCCGCAGATCTGTGTTCAGTGTACTCCTATGTCTGCGCATGAAGCAGTCTTCAGTCTTGAGGCCAAGGTATCCTGAAATGCGCGGAGAACGTCCGGGGCAGAAACCTTAGCCCCATCAATCCGTTTCTGGCGACGCTGTTAAGAGCCACCAAAACATAGCGCGGGATCTGAAATGAGGTAGGTAGGTACTCCATATTGATTTGCAATCCCGTATGCAGCCCCTCAGTGATAGCTGCTAGGAATTTTGTCAATTTTCGTCCATGGCAGGTATCCAGGTGGCGCGTTGGCACCAGGATACCGGAAAACTAGTGCTTGACAGACAGAAGCCGTGATCGACACAAAATTGAAGTAGACAATCGCCATTATCTGTTCTGCGAGTGCCATGATAGTGTTGACCACCGAATGCATCTTCGTCAACTTCAAGTCTCCCGACGTGCGCGTTCAAGTCCCCGGCGAGCACCACGATGTCGGTGCGGAGTTTTTTTTTTACAGAGAAAGTCGGTTATTTGACCATAGAACTTATCCTTAACTGGCTCCGAGCTGTAGTCTGTGGGAGTGTACGCTGCGACAATGAGCGAATCCCGTCTGCTTGCTCCACGCGTGCACAGTCACACTGAAATTTCAAGTCGGGTCGCGCAGAGTCAACTGTTGACGGGGATATAGTCTAGTGGCGAGGCTCAGTACATATGCTCAATGCAATCTCCACACCAACATGACCTGGAAATTCGGCGGTTGAAGCTTCAGATAGGCCAGTGGAACCTGCAGACGGTGAAGCCAGTCGCAACGTCCCGCTAGAGTCCTGCAAACGGTCTTACTGCGGCGGCACATCAATGACCGTAGTTTCTAGAGTGCGAGCAAGTCTCCATGCGATCCGAACTGCATCAACGTCCGCACGTTGAAGGTTGGCAGCTTGAATTGCGAAATGGCGCTAGAAATGACTTGCCAACATGACTTGGCGCACCCTCGGACCTAAGTTCCTTATGCGTATGTCGAGAACGCTCGGCTGAGGTGGCACGGTGTTGTGGACTCCGAAACGGAGAAGGAAGACCAAGATGGGGTTGAACAAACTTGAAATAAAGTGGTTAAACGGTAGTTCGGCAAAACATGGTTTGGTAGGTTCGGCCGGCAGCATCTCGGCCGAAGTGAGTAGTTCCAACGCGTGAGAGCGGAGAGAGCGCGCGAAGAGTTGTTGAGACATGGATCCATGAATTGTGTGGGCATAGTGCTTACCTGTTTCCCAGGCGCTGGAAGAGGACCCCACCTGGAGCCTTGAGTTATAAAAGTCCTAAACCACAAGGCAGTGAGCGGTTAACGTATACCGCGAACCGTTGGGAGCCGGCTATCTAGGTGAAGATAACACGGCTTTCGTATGGAAACTAACTACTCTGGGCACCCAAAAATCCCGATGGAAGCTGCGGAGAGGCCAATATTCCCTGGACCACCGAACTCGCCACTAAGTACGAAGGCCGTTGACAGCCGGGTGGCTCATACTCATTCATAGAAGCCGGTAGCCATCGAGGTTGTTCATCCGCCCTTCACTGAGTACTCACTTCTGGTCGTAGAACTGAGTGGTCAGTGACCCTATAGCCGGTCGCATTGGCTTTGACTCAGCGTCTTACTAGTTCTTATGGCATTTAATGAGGAAGCAAGTGACCAACCCAGAACCCCCACATTGTAGGACCTTGCCGCTGACTGTCCGCGACTGCTTAATTATCTCCTCTGTGAACAGCCGAGACTTATTCACAGTTACTTTTACAGGGAAGGCACTCCCCGGTCCGCAACCTTGGGATGAGCCCGGTGGTGTACAGCTCCGGCGAACCAAGCAGATGTCAGCTTACTTCCGACAAGCTACTCTTGATGAACGAATGTGAAATGGTCTGAATCTGTCAAGTCTGCTTCTGACAGACCTCAAATGTCCCCTGGGGACCCTGTAATCACATTTCTGGGTTGAATTTCCTCCTTACTACTTTGTGACTTGGACCCTTAAGGCAAATGCTCGCGGTGTATCTCCTCGATCAAACCTTTATTTACTTTACTGTATTATGATTCGGTCTGTTGAGTCGAAGGCTAAAGGGACTTCGTTGGAACGGGTCTCACTGCCAACCTGATCCAATACGAGCTCGTATTGCTTAAGCGAAACAAAGCATCTTGCCCTGGTGACCTTCCACCATTATTGCTAGGATACGCGGTTGTTTGATTGTGACTGCCTTGCCTTCTTTGTTCATCGTTATTATACTCAAGGAAGTATTTATTACCTTCCAGCTGGCGCTTGTTTGCTTTTATTCCCATCTTTGAACACCATAGGTCGCCCTGTGGTAATACTCGTGTTAACAGTCGGCTCAGTTAGCTCCATACTACTGGCGTACATCATAATGCAGTGGGTTACTGATCCTTTTGGACAACGAAGCACTGAATCCTAAGTTAACTTCCACATCAACAGTGAGTGATTTGACTGCACCTCTACTCTTCCACAGGTATTTGAACGTTACAACGCTTGCAGACGTTGCATGATGGGTGTCCTCCTTGGCTTGATGGCTTCATTTGCTTCTGTTGCTAATTCTGGGCCCTGTTCGGACTGATATAACTATTCAGCTGTAGACAAATTCCGATTTCCGGACTGATCCACGTCGATCAAGCGTCACTACTTTCCTATGATGTTTATCATAAGCAACGGTTGCTTTTGTTGTAGATGCCTGTACTCTTTCAGCTTCCGTTTTTTTTATCTTATTGCTTGTTGGCATCTATATTCGTTGTATTCTTATTTTATCCTCACGCCACGTTACGAATTAATGTGGTTTGCTTGTCATAGGTTGATTGTGTTATATATCCTTTGACCACTTCACTTTCTTAGGGTCATTTTCATCAGCCACACCGAAATTAAAGATGTCTATAACTCATACATCCAAATGTTTTTTTTCAAATCTTTGATCATGTCATACAAGCGCATATCTCGTTCTGTTGGTAAAATGCAATTTATTCCACTTATTTTTTGTATCACCAAACTGAACACTTTTTGTATCAGTGTTTTTGGCATTTGTGACTGTGCCGAAATGGAGGTGTCTCGCATTGTCCATGACAAACTTTAATTTTTTATTTATTATTATAGAGCGTGGATGTGGCTGGTGCATGTATATGATGCGTTGCGTTGTTTAATTTGTGTGTTGGATCAGGATAAGATATGCGGGAGGAATACATTCTCACCTCGGAATTTGGTTATTTCTAAACTATGAAATCATTGGATCTCTCGCAGTTGGTTTTGTAGCTTCTTTATTCTCTGACACATGAGCGTTTCAACTTGAAGCATTTAACTTGGAATGTACACCCAGCTGGTGTTTTGAATTCCATTGGGTACTAAACTGGTGGATTACATTTGTTTGGTTGGTTGGAATCATTTCTCCGTCGGCATTTCCCCACACTAGTTTTCTCTCGGAAACGGACACAAAGTTTTTAGAGGTTAATGAATCATGCGAGGGAATGGATGAACATCTTGGGTTTTAGTGACTGCAGAACAGATCTCACATTTGAGCCAACTTAACTGCTTTGTGTTCGGTTACCTTTCACATACCATGAGTACCGGAGCTGGCTATCAACCAGGCTCACGTGGCTTGTTTCGCAAACTCACGTGCGCTTTCCAACCTATCACTCACCAACCGTGTTAATAATGCGAGCTCAGCACCATCTGCTGATTGTTTCAAGCCATTTTCTCTTCTATTGATCCCTCTTATCACTTACCTATGAATACGTCGGTTTTCGACGTTCTTTGGGGTGGCTAATCCGCAGTAATTATCAACATTCCTTGCAGGTTTCCGTAGCATCCTTCCGGTCGGCATCACAGCAGTCTTCTTCTGACTCCTTATCCCAGAACACACAGTTGGGTTTCACTCAACTCACACAGAACAACCCCGTGATTTTGTACAGCCAACTGCAGTCCACTCAGGTGGGTGTTTTGCACCGGTTAGACTTGTTCCTTTTTCAAAATGCACTCTTCATTTGCTCAGAATTTCGTACAGATCCTCTATTTCCGTTAACAAACTTAACGATGTTTAGCAACGGACGCTAATGCACCCAATTCCCTATCACTTCTCGTCAATACAATCACAATTGTGGTCATCATCTCACATCATGTTACGTGCCCATTATTACGCTGCTGCTTCTCAGCTGCGACGCGACTGTTACGTGTTAGAAGTTACAGGCACTTAATCTATGCATTGACGGAAACAGAAACGCACTCCGCCCTAGTCGGGACACGATGTTCACAGCTCATACGCTCTTCCCATCTGTTCGCGTTCCATTACGGGTCTGCATTGCCGCTTCATGTGGCATTAGACCCGGTTCTTTCAGGTAACCCAAGTTCTCACTCAACTCGTCACGAGCGACATAAAGCATACGGGTTGGGATTCTACAGTAGGCTGGATGCCGTGTTCAATTGCCAATCGCTCGTAACATTTCACGCCCGGTTACAGGTCGCTAGAATGAGCCTAAAAATATCGAAGGCAGTACTTAGCTAGGCAACTGCATTTTCATCGGACCACTATTCCAATGCTTCGGCTACTGAACTTCATGTGCACCGTTCCTTGAAGCATTTTTCATTAGCCGATATCTTTGTCCCTTGATATCTGAATGCATCGGGAAGACCACTTCCACTTGATTTAGATTTTTCCACTTTTTGATCTCGTCTCATCGTTTTGTCCCCCTGTTATTAGCAAAGTTGTTGCTTTCCACATTCAGATTTCGCTAGAGTAATTGGATCCAGCTTCTCCCCATTTTTGCCTCGTCAGATTGCTCAGCAAATTACCGCTTTACCTTGTGATTCTGTGCAAAATGAAGCTCTCTGCACTGAAATTATCAGTGTGCTTCACCGAATTATATTTTCCGCGTTTTTCCGATCTCGAGCTGGGTGCCTATTGGAAGATGTGGAGAATAAAGTGAAATCTGACGTCTATTGGGTGCGTCACTAAAGCACAACGTTTCATGATGGTATCGTTAAATTTCACCTGGATTGTCGTGAATTGTGCACTTTCTATCTTCCTGGGCATCTTGAGCCGTTGTTCCAAAATCGTTATACTTTGTTGGCTTTGTGAGTTTTGGCTTCAGTCCTTAGGTTTTCCGTACCAAACGTCTTTACCTCACTGCATCTGTCTTTCTTTTTCTTTGCTCGTTGCCGACATCCATTTGATTGCACTTTGTTGTATCACTGTTTGTAGCACAGCACACGTTTGTCTACTGTCTGTAAAATTCTGGTACTCCGTAATCTGGCTCATGGGTTCTCCGGGACCTCCTTTGTCATATGAAACAGTACTGAAATTTAGGGGTCTTTATAGTAGTGGCCTCCGAGTTGGATTAACTCCCACCCGTCTGGAAAAGCTCTGCACGACCGTTTAGTCCTACCGAGTCCAGTCAGTAGTGCTCATCCCTCGGCTTTATAGTGAACCAAACCTAATGGCCTCTCGGCACTAACACAGGAGGTTATCTGCCACTGGACTGGGTGTCGGTAGCATACTGACAGTTGTTTTCAGCGCAATGTACGGTAACCAGCATGCGTCCCGGATATTGACTGGTTAGATTGCATTGGTGTCATGCAAGCACATTTACTTGACAGCTGAAGTTGCGGAAGTAGCTACTTGAATGCAGTTTATCTCCCATCTACCCAACCTAGAGTCCCATTCATTTGGCTTGAAAATCTCAGCCATTTACATGGTATCATGCGGTAGAAGAACCGCGTCGCTCGCCTTACGCCAATTTCTGCAATATCATCAACGGTGATTTCGAGTCTTACTGAGGACTACCTGTTTACTGGTTTGCTTGCAGAGGCATCCGCCGTCAAACTGCATCGTCGCCTTGCTGCCACGTAACCACCACCAGTCACTCGAGGTCGTCGCACCTACGAGGACTTGATAGATATATTCAACACGGCCAACAGTACAATTGGCATAGCGCCACAACGGATGGAAAATACAGTAAACAAACAAAGGGAGAGGGGAAATACGGTATTCATGGGAATAGTGAATCACGGTTTCTGCCATTGCGAAGTGTTTCTTGCCTTACGTGTTCCTGATTCTTTTCACTCCAGCCAGGGAGCCGAGAGCGCCCGACCGCGGCTAACTTTGACGTTAGCTCCTTCATGCTCCTGGCGCAACTCATATGTTGGCCACCCCGCTTTCGCTTCCAACCGACTGCTGCTAGCGCGAAGAGAGCACGGCGAGGTTAACGATGGGTAAACATGCGAAGAACATGCCCAAACCGCTGAAGTCTGTGCAGAGAAATTATGCTACTCAGTGGCCGGCAATGTCTGTCTGATCTGGAAATCCTCCGTCTAACATCTTCATTACTAGTGTGATGTTACAATCGTGCGAAGTTCCTTCCAAACTGGGACACAGACACAACCAACCTACATAGGACGTTTCGGGCGGCCTGAGAGGAATCGCAGATTGCGGCGATGTCGTCTACATATTCCAAATCCCGAAGTCGGTCCACCGGAAGCAGCTCGACGCCGCTGGGTACGCGGTTCTCCAGATCACTCTCTAAGATTTCATCCATAGTTCAATTGAACAAGAAGTGGGATGCTGAGCAACACTGTCTCGCGCCACTGGTGATACTAAAGGGGGGCGAACGTCCGCCGTACACCCGCACTCGGCTTGAGGTTTAAGGCTGTATGGCTTGAAGTAAGGTGAGATACTTCTCGGGCACTCCCCTTCTCAATAGACAACTCCAGAGAGCAGTTCTGTCGACTGAGTCAAATGCGGTTCGTATGTCTATGAAGACAACGATCGTTGGCCGGCCAACTATTTGACGACGCTCAAGTATTTGACGGAGTGTAAAGATGCGATCGGTGCAAATCCCCACCTAAGCGGAACCGAGCTTGTTCTTTACGTATGTTCTGTTCGCGTACCAGGCTGAGCCTTCTTAAAAGCCGTGCTGCGAGCACCTTGGAAGCGACACAGATGGGACTACTCCCTCTGTGGTTGGCGCAGTCAATTCGGATACGGTTTTTGAAGACGGGCACGATATCCGCTAGACTCCGATCAGACGGGATAACTTCAATGATCCAGATCTCTTGGGGGAGGGTGTTTAACTCTTGAACAAGTAATGGGCCGCCATCTTTGAAAAGAGCTGAATGGAGTTCAACTAGGCTAGGGGCTTTGTAGCGCTTTAAGTGGCGAAGCTCATGAGCAGCGTCAGCCTGGGATGGATGGCGAAGCGTCGACACACCAGGGAGCGCTCTGGACTGCAGAATGGGAACTCATTGGTGCTGCTAGCCAATTAAACTGCTGCTCAGAATGCTCGGACCAACGCTCGAGTCGGCGTTTTTGACAGTAGATTGGCTCGCCATTGGTTTAGCACAAAATTCGCTTACGGTCGGCCTTTGAATGCCTTATATATATATATATATATATATATATATATATATATATATATATATATATATATATATATATATATATATAATTTGACGTCAGGGTTTGCCGGAGATGTCAGTTTGATGACGGTACTGGCGTCTCGCAACCTGATTTCGGAAAGGCAACAGATGTCTAATGTGAGTGTCTCAAGCGTACGGGCCAGACATACTTGTCGTGGATCTGCATCAGAGTGCGCACATTGAACGCTGCAAGGCCGAACGGAGAACCAAGACAAAGGAAAGCTTGAGTTTCCGTTGAGTGTGCGGATCTTTGGCCACCGGGCAACGAACACCAAACGTTTGACTCAGAACTCTGTCAGATGCGACCAGTGAGCTGTTGTTGACGGTGACCAGGGAAGACGTAGGTGCAGTTGAAGAACAGGACGTGGGACGATCTGTGAGCGGATGTTGAGCAGCAGAGACAGTATAGCTAGTAGACATAGCATGAGGGAAAGCAGCAGTGTAATCCATCCATGGTTCGTCAGTGGGCGTGATACTACCCGGTTGCCCAGGCCGAAGTAGCGGGTTGTATTGGGGTGCCCCGCCCTGAGCCTTTGATCCAGGATCTAACCTACAAGGCAGCAGGGCGATATGAGGGTATCGCAACCCGTTGGGAACCGGTGACCAAACAAATGGTTCATACGTCTTTAGGCACGCATAGGACCAGTGTCCCAACACACCCTTGATTTGCGATGCCGCTCAGAGAGAGAGGCAAGGGGTAGTGACTTGATTTATTGGCGAGTTACATCCGTCACGTCACAGTGTTTTTACATTTGTGGATTTTTATAGCGAGAACCATTGCCATGCGAAAGCCCACCACGTCCTGGAACACTACCACTGAACCATTCACTGGAACGGGATAATCCCGAACCACCCAGTTGGCACCACTAGGAGGTTGTTCGACAAGCCACTCTTTGCCGCCAGTAGATCGGATCAGGAGGAAAAGCTTGCAGAAATTCCCCCAGGTGGCCTCTTGTTCCATCTCGATGGTTTTCTGCGTCCACCAGGCCTCGCAATCTTCCCAGAGAAGTTGTTTGAGCTCAACGTTAGTAGTCTTGCATAGTGAATGGTATTTAACTTTAGCATGAGTTGCGCGACGAGCTTCGAGAAGTTGGAGGGATCGTGCAGAGATGCAGTGGTTTCCAAGACTACTAGGGAAACGCAGAGTAGGGTTGCTTACTTGTACATGGCGCCGCGATGTGTGTCCAGTGTGCTTCTATGTCTGCGCATGAAGCAGTTTTCAGTCTTGAGGCCAAGGTATCCTGAAATGCGCGGAGAACGTCCGGGGCAGAAACCTTAGCCACATCAATCCGTTTCTGGCGACGCTGTTAAGAGCCACCAAAACGGAGCGCGATCTTCGCACATACCAGCGCGGGATCTGAAGTGAGGTAGGTACTCCATATTGATTTGTAATCTCGTATGCAGCCCCGCCAGCGATAGCTACCGGCAATTTGCTCAATTTCCATCCATGGCTGGTCAAGTGGCGCGTTGGCACGAGGATACCCGAAAGCTATTGCTCGACAGACAGAGGCCGTGATCGACACAAAGCTGAAGTAGGCAATCGCCATTATCTGTTCTGCGAGTGCCATGATGGTGTTGCCCACCGAATGCGCGTTCGTCAACTTCAAGTCTACCGACGTGCGCGTTCAAGTCCCCGGCGAGCACCACGATGTCTGTGCGGCGCTTTTTACGGAGAAAGTCGGTCAGTTGACCATAGAACTTATCCTTAACTGACTCCGAGCTGTAGTCTGTGGGAGTGTACGCTGCGACAATGCGCAAACCCTGTCTGCTGGCTTCGCGCCTGGACAGTCACCCTTAGGTTTCAAGTCGGATCGCGCAGAGTCGACTGTTGACGGGGATATAGTCTAGTAGCGAGGCTCGGCACACTTGCTCAACACGATCTCCACACCAACATAACCTGCAAATTCGGCGGTTGAAGCTTCAGATAGGCTAGTAGAACCTGCAGACGGTGAAACGAGTCGCAACGTTCCGCTAGAGTCCTGCAAATGGTCGTACGGCGGCTTCACATATGAACGACCGTAGTTTCTAGACTGCGAACAAGTCTCCCTGCGATCCGATCTGCATCAGCATCCGAACATTGAAGGTTGGCAGTTTGAATTGCGATAGGGCGCTAGAAATGGCTTGCCAGCATGACTTGGAGCACCCTCAGACCTAAGCTCCTTATGCGTATGTCGAGAACGCTCGGCTGAAGTGGCACGGTGGAGGAAGACCAAGATGGGGTTGAACAAACCTGAAATAAAGTGATTAAACGATAGTTCGGTAAAACGTGGTTTGGTAGCTTCGATTGGCAGCATCTCGGCCGAAGTAAGTAGTTCCAGTGCGTGAGAGCGGAGAGAGCGAGCGAAGAGTTGTTGAGACATGGATCCATGAATTATGTAGGCATAGTGACTACCGGTTGCCCAGGCGCTGGAAGAGGACCCCACCTGGAGCCTTGAATTATAAAAGTCCTATACCGCAAGGCAATGGGCGATTGACATCTACCGCGAACCGTTGGGAGCCGGCTATCTAGGTGAGGATAACACGGCTTTCGAATGGAAACAAACTACTCAGGGCGCTCAAACAAAAAACCGATTGAAGCTATGGAGAGGCCAAGATTCCCTGGACCACCGAACTCGCCACCAAGTACAAAGGCTGTTGACAGCCGGGTGGCTCATACACATTCATAGAAGCCGGTGCCCATTAATGTTGTTCATCCGCCCTTCGGTAAGTACTCACTTCTGCGATCAGGAGCGCGTAATCAGTGACCCTTTAGCGGTCACGTTGGCTTTGACACAGCGTCTTTTGAGCTCTTTTTGGATTTAATGAGGCACTAAGTGACCAGCCTAAAACCCCCCACACTGTAGGGCGCTGTCGCTGATTGTCCGCGACTGCTTAATTATCTCTTCTGTGAACAGCCGAGACTTATTCACAGTTACCTTCGACAGGAAGGCACTCCCCGATCCGCAACCTGGGGATGAGCCCGGTGGCGTACAGCTCCGCCGAACTAACCAGTGTTTATTTCACTTCCGGTATTACTTGAACCGGCGACCTCAGGATTACAACACAAGCATGCAATCCTTTCGGCCAGCAACCGAGCCGGTTTAGGTATATGTTAGTGATGACTGCAGACTAGATAGGGAGATCAGTTTTTCTCTACGATTTTAGCCGTTTTCGAGTGATGGTTATGTCACGAGCCATTTCCAAGCTGTTTGCTTCCCTCGCACCACATACGGTCCTTTTTCCAATGTCTTCTACCAAACTTCTTTACTCAGCCTTTGTCGTGTGCAAGCGTGCTTACTCATTCGCTGCCGGTAGAAGTCTTTTCGTTCACTCACCTGACACTAGTAATGGTGGTTGTGACGAGAAGTATCATGGTTCACTACGCTACACATCCTTTAGTCCTCACACCAAGTCATGAAGTCATCCTTTCGTAGGTACGGGGCAAAGTATTCAAATGTGGTGTAGGCAATGTACACATATTTAAGCGGTGAATTGTCCACCAGAACCTGACCTCCCTACAATTGGACAACTGATTTCGCTTTACCACTGGTTCCCCATTACCGCGTTGTCCACACTTTTTTCCACTTGTCTGTGGCGTCGAGGTGGTTGGATCTGCGCTGACCTATCGCACCAGAGAGTCTGATGCTGATCCGGTTGCATACACTTGAGAGAGGGCTTTGTGCTTGTGACCTAAATACGCGGTGGATAACTTTTTTCCCTGTTGATCCGTTGCATCTTTTTCGTTACCAGTGGTTTCCTCCACAAATTATTGTGCGAGTAACTCACCAGTATTGAGAGGCGACTAGTTCCACTTTGGCTTTCATTGTTACGGTCCAGTGTCGCAAACTGCTCTAATCTACTTCCTGTTATATGTAACCAGACAGCGTTTTCTCCATCAATATTTTCCACTCAATCTGTGTTGATTTTCTTTTACGTCAGCGCCGATTACAGCACACTGTCATTCACGACTTTTGCATTTTGCTAATGTTCGCGGGTTTCTTGTTTTCGGACCTCAGTGATATCCCAACCACCGCCTGTGAGACAACAGTCACTGCATCGCACCGCTTCCGAAAGCAGTGAAAGACGCTTATCTGCCTTATCGTATGCTGCAGATGTGTAGATAAGAACTCCACTGCCTTTGTCTTCCGCTTGTATCACAGCAACCAATCATGCTGTCACACACCCCCGTATGTGATGTTCATACTTGCGTGAGTTTGGGTGTCTCAGTCTGAGGTTCGGCAGCCTCCGATCGCACGTTCAATTAACACTAGAGCAGGACACCGGTGTCCTGTTTATACAATCAAAAATGCGCCTGCTCACCTGATACTATGTGCACTATACCCAATCCCACTTGTGCAGCCAGCTGCACGGGAAGCGCAATTTCTCTTGGTGCGTACATGGTTTTTCTCTGTAGATGCTAGTCAAACATTGCAACGATTGCCATCCCGCTGGAGTAAGTACAGATGGACCGTTGGCTGTCAACGTTCGTCTCTATCTCATCCTTGATAGTTGCAAAGCGCTATTCGAATGTTGCTGAGCCAACACTCTACACAAGGGCCCTAGCAAACGAAGATTTCCAATTGAAATTATGAATACAGCGTATACATCCTTCGTTTGTACAATTTCTCTTTGAGACGCATCGGTTTACTAGGTTTAATCTCCTCCAAACTTTTCTTCCAACCAGAAGCTTACAAAGGTATCAGTGCCTACTGTTTTCACACATGTGACACCCGTTTTGATCCTTTGCTGCTGATACTTTTTACTGTCTCGTTCAGGTACCAATGGCATCTCTCCCGACGGGTTAACAGTCCCTATTCCGTAGTGCACCCAATGCTTAAAACACGAATTTCTTTTCTATTTCCTGTGATTGTTATCTTCACGCATCTCCTTTTTTGATGCAGTGCGGATCTGCGTAGGGCGAATTATTCTACCTGACCATCTGTCATTAGAGTCTCGAACTGGAATGTCGTCAATTCATTTGATCTGCTTGGTCATGGAGCTCTTCCTGTCCGTATGTCGATTCCGTACCAACATCTGAAGGATTTTGCTATCGTGGTAACTGATCTTTGCAGACTCGCCTATCTCTCCGGAGCGCCCTCTAACGCTCGCATGTAGTCGGTCGCCTCCTTGACAACGTTTTGAAGGAACCATTATCTTGCCTGTCATACCTTGACTCGTGTAACGGACCACATTGGAAATTGGAGCTTAGTTCATCGCATCAAATTCTCAGACACTGTTAATCCTCAGATGAAACGGATCCTTGATTGATATAGTATGGAGATCGAGTGACCGAACAATGGATTCACGCTTACTTGGCTAGGGTTCGGTCCACTGCACAGTTACGATACAGGATGAGGACCGTAACACTTGGTGTGTGTAAGATGTGCGTTCCAAAATCCCATCCACTTATTTTCATCGAATCGAAGGTTTGTACGTTACTTTTAGCGAAAGGTCCGATTTGATCTGTGACGTACCAGGCTCAGTGTATGACAGAGTAGAACGATTCTCGGTAATCGCTTCAGTGCGCTTAGATAACTAAGTCTTAGGTATCGTTTTAGCACAGCGGTAAGGAAGCTATTCATCCTAGTGTATATTTACAGTCCGCACAACAATGATGCTACTTTACAGCAATACCCGGTCTGACCGTGACTATGAAGTCCCGAATGGTGATGTTTTATAAAATATCTAGTGTCGACCTGGTGATATTAGGGGCCTTAATCAGGCGGCAGAAACTATTCATCATTGTCGAACTTTCGGAGTGTTTTCCGTCTCAAATCGCGATAAGATTTGACTTGAAACAAACCGCGATCATTCGTGCCCCAACCATGCGCGGTTGCAATCCGTGAACACCCACCTTCTTTCTATTAGTAGGATTCTGCTTGTCGAGTTTTTATTTCTCTCCTCTCTCTGTTACTTTCACTGGTGGGACATTGTCCATCATACTCAATTGATTTTCATCCGACTATTAGAGGGAGATCCATTGCAGCTTCACTCAGCATAACAGCCACTTCACACTCGACACAAAGTTGCATGTCTGTTTTTTCTTGCCGGAGCCGTCAATCATTCTTTTTATTGAAGGAATGAAACTCGTGTTCATCCACTTTTGAAACGGTGGGGAATGTCTTAGACCACTGACACATTGTCGATTGATACTTGTTGGCCATTGTTTTTTTTCCTCACTGGCATGGTTGTTTCCGACATGTTGAACTGAGTTGGCCCTCAAAAGCACGACATCTTATCAGTACAGCTCGGAATACTACTGGTTATTTGTCCATTTCGAAATATTTCCTCATAACTCCCTTTGGCACCCATCAATCATTTTAAATGCCACTGAATAATATCTGTTTCGTTCTCCCAACTGACGGGATGATGCTCGCCACCCATCCAACTCTTCATCTGGCGTAAGTACCTGGAAAATTGTCTTAGTATTTTTTGAAACCTATGGTCACGTGCAGTGGTTCCACATAAGGCTGAGTTGTCCCAATGCGGTGTGAGTATTCATGCTGAGTCAGTCACTTTATGTCTTCACGCATAGCTACTCTTCAACAATGTCTCTCATCAGCAGGCAACTAATCTATACATTCCCCCTCTTTTCCACTCCACTTTGCAGGGTTTGTGCGAAGTGGTGACCCGTAACAAGGGTATGTATGAGCCGGTACTCAATCTGTATTTGCGTCTACTGTTGTCCAGCCTATCTCCTGGATTCTTAAGGGACTTAAAGCGTTGCAACATAAATGATTCATCACTTCCTCCATCAACCGGTGTGACATCCTCTCAGACGTCGAGGGTCCCTATCGGACCACCTGTTTCACTGGACCAGTTGGTTATGGCAAATCCGGAAACCGGCGGGGAGTTATATTGTTGCGAACATCCGGTAGGTTGACGCATTTCATCGTATGTTCCCTTTGACTATGTTTGGACGATAGTACCAGTGCGTTTCTCATCACATGCGCCACCTTCACTCACCTCATTGTGCTATTAATTCCCTCAAGCAAGCGATGTTGTTCCCTTTGATCCATCTTGATAACTTGATTGCGTTACCAGACGACACACCTTTACTTCTCTCTTAGGACATCCTAGCTTGGTGTCTTCAGTTGCTAATTACGCAATCCGCCTTCTCTCGTGCTTGGCGTCAATTTCGTCTGGCTCGTTCACACTCATCTGAGGCCGAGAGTGAATCCTCCCAGCCTACTGCAGGTTTCAGTCAATTTACGCAGTCTACTTTATCTGGAACTGTCGAGTGTGGTCGTTCTGTATCCCAGTCCTTGTTCACAAAAGCTGTTCGCGTCCTATTAGCCCTCTCTGACTCACTCCGTGTGACTCCTCTGGACGATTTTGGTTTGGTAAGCTCATAATGATTCCTTAAAACGTGCATCCTCTTGCTTGCTGTTGAACCCTTTTATCTCACGCCACTTGTAGTCCTACAACATCTATTTTTCGATCCCACTGTGCTCACGTAAAATCTAAGCTGTTGCCACTGCATCATTGCTTCCAACTCTCGAGAAAACGAGCGCGCTGCTGCACCTCGGGTGGAATTTTGCGTTCTTCAATAACCCTAGATGTGTAATCAGTCATGAGCGCAAAACCCACTATCTCGTTTCAATCAAACGTAATTATCTTATTAGATACTCCCCTTTCCTGTCGCTCAGACGTGCCCATTGAGGATTAATTCGTTTGGTCACAGAAAAACTCAAATAATCAGGTTCGATTCAAGAGTTAGGTTTATGTTTGAAGTGTATCATCATCTGTTGAATGACAGTGAACTTCGATCCCAACTCATATTTTAGGAATGAAAATCCAGAGACACTTCTAATTGTAGTCATCCGGTTTCCAAATTATGCCCTTTTGTACCCTAATCCTCTGGCATTTACGGAACCTCATCTAATCAAAGCAGCTTTCCATGCTTCCTAAGTAGTTTATGTTCTTTCGTTCGCTCTAAATCTACTGCCAAAGGAATTCTTGTTTTCCAATCGTTATCTACCAGGTGAACAGTTGCTGACCATTGGTAACGGAGTAAATACCTTTTCCCTTAATCTACACATAATTCTTGTTGTTATGATCCTCCTTGGGCCCCGAAATCAGTTTGTCCTACACTTATAGGGAGTTCGCAAAGCGTTATTTTGTCTCATTCACGGTTCCTGCGCCACTGAACGCGTGTTGGTGCTACTCAGCTTATGGTGCAGTAAAGGATCTTTCACAGCACGGTATTGAAGCAGTCACTTGTCCGTGCAACCTTATTTCTGATACATTTAGCTCCTCATAAAATTTGGCACTCTTCGTCACTCATTTTAATCTGGGATCGGGACTATCATTGCAGCAGTACGCTCATTTCCCCATTCCACCTTACTCAAAATCATTATATTCAGTTCTGATTAAGGCAGATATCACAGAACTGTAGGTTGTGTACGGTTTGCCCCCGCTGCTAGTAGTTTTCTTTTATGCGGTCTCAGGTTTTAAACTGGCCTTATTCTACACCATCTGAACGCGATAGAACCCCGACAATATGTGTCCCCCACGTTTCACTGCGAATCAAATTATGTCCCACTTTTCTGCATTCATCTTTGAAACGAATTCACTCTTAGTGATCGAATCAGATACAACAGTTGTCCAAATAAGTCATTGCAAAATTCCTTCATTGGCAAATATTACTTCCGTACTCTCTTGCCTACATACTCCAGAACGGTGCCACCGATTTCACCTCTTCTGCGACAGGAAAAGTCAATCGCCGCAGGGCTGAACTGCTCCTCGGATTGTACGATGCCTGCTTGGAGTTTGAGTTGAAAGACCCATTGGAGTTGATGAGTAGTTGCAATGTGGATCCCTCTCAAGCGAACGATCAGAAGTGAGTGTGATTTGTGGTTTACTTTCACTGCCCCGCTTGGTCAGCTCATAATCATCCATGTACCTCTAAAAGATGTTCCGTTCGATTCACTTGTGCAAATAGTGAGATAATTGTATTTTGTTATAGCTGGAGTGAGTCATACCACTGATGCTATTGGAAGACAGCTAGACATCCGTTTCGCCCCACTGGAACTCGTGGATAACGTGCCTCCAGACCCATGAAGCTAATCAACGTGCTATAGCACAGAGGCACTTGTCTTCTCTTTCTCGTGACGATCAACTTAAGCTTTGCTTTTGTGTCACCAAAAAGAGGAATTAACCCATCTTATGCTTTGGTCACTCCTTAGTAAGCGTGTTGTGAAGCCATGGTGCCCCAACATTAACTTGCGCGTAATCACATAAGTACGTTTACCATCTAGTGCACAGATACCTGAAGAATCCATATTAGGAGCTCAACATCAGTGAATTTGAACTCCACCTAAACTATTTGAGGTTCACTTTTGCTTTTCACTAAGTTCCCTCTTATTGCTATACCTGTGTGCTTTCTACAGATGAGTATGTTTTCAACGAGGTGTGACACGGCTGACGAGGCTGGTCCGATCGAAAGGTAAAGGGGAAATTCGAATTGCCGTTACAACACGGTTGCACTGGACTAAATGTCATTTTTTACTGATTCTTTCATCATCGCTTTCATTCCAACTTGGCTTCGGAATAGACGATAGTTGATCAGGCGACGTGTTGCAACTGGAAGAAAAATAACGGTGATGCGTTAATTAAAAAACAATATGCGCTCGAAAGTGTGTGCAATCGCCTGCTGAGTATCGTAAGCAACACCTAAAACTCCCGGGTCAATTCAAAATAAGGCCGGAAGTTAGTTACAGTACTCAACTACCGTTTCTTTGTCTTGCTTGGATTTAGTGTACAATCTTTCGTTGGACTTACAAGTGTCTCGTACTCGGCACATGATATTTCACGTTATCTTATTTGCTTTTTAAACATTTTGTAGTCTAATTTTTAGTCACATCTTTTTTGGATCGTGGCACATTTGTTAAGGGGTGTTTCTCATCCTCAGCTAGCGTATTGATGATGACTCGGAAGTTTGTCTTCTGAGTCCATGCTCTGTGTTTCGATAGCTGTGCGAACTGGACGCAGTCTATTGCTTTTCTTCACTATATCCACTGGAAAGAAATCATCCGAGAACGTCGCCGGAGCGAAGGAAGAACTGTGGCATATTACCCGTTTTCCTCCTGTTGATGCTTTGGTTTCTTGCTCTGGGACCCATGTTAGCTTTGAGAGTAGGCGGATGCCGGATTCACATAGTGCGGTTGTCGCTTTTAGATTTATTTGCAGAATCTGAGAAGGAGCGGGTGGCAGTTAAATTGCAGTTGGCTAAGTTGCACCAGGAGCTAGGTGTTCACGATGATGTTAACGAGCCACCTGCTGCCGTTACTCGATTTCTCAATGCGCATCATGAACGATTGGAGTGGTTGGTGGCAAATTGTCCTAAAGCCGCACCAAGGTAAACAGTGTCAAATGCTACCCTGCCAGTATGGGTGGTCGGCGCTTGCGTTGCAGCTCATAGCGGTTCCGGAGATCTTCGGGACGACGCTCACAACACATCGTGCATGATTTTGCTGCCGCACGCAGAAACCTTTGAGCACCTCGTGACTTCTGCTTATGCGTCTCAGGCTGAATATGGGATTCTTTTTGCTTTGTTCTATCGTAGTGATTCCTTGGAAGCTGGCGGTTGACATCATGACACGGAATCTGTTGTGCTAAGTGAAGCGGAGGTGGTGAGATTTGTAGCCTCTTCAGCTACCGCTTGTCCTGACCCTGCATCGTGTACTGATGTGCAACAGGGTTCCTGATCACTGGTACACTAACATGCTAACTTGACTGTCGCCCTATCGGACATTGAGCAGTCCAATATTCACAGCTCCAATGGCGCAGTAACACACAGAAAAGCGGAATCATGTGCTCCATGGGGTGGCATAAATTTGTCCCGTTTTGTTGATACTGACGTCGCAACTGTCTTCAATGAGTTTGATACGCTAGAGGATATTTGCATCTGTAAGGATCAGTAGCCCATGGGGAATCGATCGCCTTGCGGGCTTCACATTCCTTTGCGACGCCCCGCACCAGATCACAGCTCTGGTGGCTCAGTATCATCTGATCGCGTTAAAGCCGAACTTTATGTTGCTTCAATGACTTATGTTGTTACTCCGCTTGTAGGCGGACCGTATGACGCTGGTCGTTTGGTAAAAGTGGTACGGCTCAGATACCGTAGCAGACGTGTTGTCCTGTGGAGTTGGGCTACCTTCTTGGATTCTAGCTTCTGTGAACTCAGTAAAGAATGAAGTAATGTAAATTAAGCCGCTAGATAAAGGTTTGGCACAGGTGGATTAAAAATTTAGATCGTTTGCATTATTAAACATCCTAAATTCCCCTTCAAGTGAGATCGATTGCTGTATATTCGTCCAAGATAATTCGAGGCTAACCGCATCTTAAGGGCAGCGGCTAACAGCTAAAAGGGTATGGTAGTTCCGACTCTTGACTCTCCGCAGGTGGGAGATGGATCTTCGGATCTGCTGCTCCATGTGGGACCATTGTGAGTTTAACAAGCCGAAGTGGAAGAATGCAGAAGTATCGTTGTACTTCCTGTATTCTCCTATTGTGCATGGAGCGAGATTAGAGCGAAGCAGAGCGAGAAACTGACGGGTCCTCAATGCGAAGCACATCCGTTGAATTTGAGCGGAGTGTAACTGGTAAATTTCCCATGCAATTCACAGCTTATTTAGATCCCACTCTGGATAACCACCTCTGACTCCTGCGCTATCTGCTGAACTTCTGTCTATCATCTATTTATGTTTTCCTATTCGCTGCCCCATAATGATAATAAAATAAATAATAATAATAATAATAATAATAATAATAATAATGCGTCAGTTGTACGCCGTAACGGCGCTTCGCTGCCGCGCGACCACCACCAGTCTCGCGCGGGCTGAGTATACCGCGAGGATGCCTACCCCTACGCAGATTCGAACCGATGACCTTATGGTTGCAAAGCAAATGTGCAGAACACTCGGCCACCGGCCCATGTCATGAGCCGTGCGCCATGTTGCTTTAGAATATGGGCTGCTGTGTTGTTGGGATAGCGGGAGGGGACCGGGGTTGTGGTGTATGCGGTTGGTGGCGGACGCCAGGGGACTAGGAGACGGGGCGTGAGGGGGAGACAGTAGGGGGAGGCCCGGCATTGGACGGCTGGGGGGGGGGGGGAGGGGAGGGTCGGCAGGGGATGTCCCGGGGTAGGTGGCCCGCAGGGCGGGTGGGTGGGGTGAGCATGATTGGGGGCGGTGGTCGAGGGTCGAACGTGGGAGTGAGGGATTGGAGGGCGGTGCTCTCACAACAGAGGTCGGGCGCATGGGGCAGTAGCCTCACCAGAGGGAGCCGCGCCGGAGGTGGTGGGCGCAGGGTCGGAGGTGGGGCGCGGCGCGGGAAGGTAGCCTTCTGCGGGCAGAGGTGGGGATGTAGCGGACTAAGGGCGTGAACGTGCTGGAGGTGGGGGCCAGAACGGGGAGGTGCGGGGACTAACTGCGGTGGGGATGTACGGGCTATGAGGGGAAGACGGCTGGGGGCATGCACGATCGGGGCGGCCGCGGTGGCCAGGGGAAGTATAGCACCAAGGGTCGAGGGGGGGGGGTGCGGTAGGAGGGCAAGTCCGGGGGAGCGCGAAGTACGCGTGGGTGGGTAGGTGAGGTTGGGTCGTGTGATGGCGCGGACGGGGGGGGCTGGTGGGGAGAGATGGGGCTGGCCAGGGGTGTGACTTGGTAATTCTGGGAAAGTGGATGGTGGGGGAGCGGCGGTGTGACCGGTGTTGGGTCTTATGACGGTAGGACATTGCGGCTGGGAGTGGGCGGTGGTGGGGGGGGATGCTGTGAGGTCTTGTATGGAGATGAGGGGGGTTATCGGCTGCTTTGGCCCAGGGTGTGGGTTTGCGGCGCGGCGTGCGGGCCCGCACTTGGGGGTTGGGCATCGGGAGGGTAGCTGGTGGCTAGGGTGGCGGGATTTGTGAGTTCGGGGGCATGAGGGTGCGGACTGAGGGGTGGTGGAACGGGTATTGGGGGCTGGTCGGGGCCCTGCATCATGGAGGGGCTTGAGGAAGTTCTGCATTTGGTTGGTGGTGGTATCGCTGCTATTGGGACTGGGTGCAATATCGTGGAGGGTTTGAGGGTCCGCGGGAGGGACCGTTAGAAGTGTTGAGGGGCCCTGGATCGGACTGTGCGTGAGCTTTGTGGCGGAGGGCGGGGGTGGGGGGATGTGTGAGGTTGGGTGGGGTCGGCTGTGTGTCGGGGGGTACGGCGCGGATACAAGCTGGGGGGCGGAGGCGGACGAGGCAGGCCGCTTGGCTTCTTGGGTGGTTCGGGGCTTAGGGCGGAAGGACGCGTCTTGGGCGTTTACGGGCCGGATCGGGGTTCTCAGTGTTGATGAGGGGAAGCTCGTCTGTGGGGTGAGGGTGGGGGGTGTAGTGGATTTGTGTGCGGCTTGGCTTGCTGGGGCACCGGTGGAGGGGGGGGGGGGGGGGGGGGAGGGGGGGGGGGGGGGGGGGGGGGGGGGGGGGGGGGGGGGGGGGGGGGGGGGGGGGGGGGGGGGGGGGGGGGGGGGGGGGGGGGGGGGGGGGGGGGGGGGGGGGGGGGGGGGGGGGGGGGGGGGGGGGGGGGGGGGGGGGGGTGGGGGGGGGGGGGGGGGGGGGGGGGGGGGTGGGGGGGGGGGGGGGGGGTGGGGGGGGGGGGGGGGGGGGGTGGGGGGGGGGGGGGGGGGGGGTGGGGGGGGGGGGGGGGGGGGGGGGGGGGGGGGGTTGGGGGGGGGGGGGGGGGGGGGGGGGGGGGGGGGGGGGGGGGGGGAGGGGGGGGGGGGGGGGGGGGGGGTGGGGGGGGGGGGGGGGGGGGGGGGTGGGGGGGGGGGGGGGGGAGGGGGGGGGGGGGGAGGGGGGGGGGGGGGGGG